TTAGTGGGGGCGGAGTGGGGCGGGCGGAGGGGGGCGGGGAGGGAAAAGACCTGGATCCTCGTCTCTTCCGGAAACCGACCGGCCGGCAGGAAATGACGAAGCACAGGTCGTCCAGGTCCGTGCGGTAACCGGTTCCCGCGAGCCCGGCCCCGACTCCGGGGGAAAGGGGCCCCGCGCCGAGCAGCCTGGCCGCCTGCCGCCTCCGGAGCGAGCAGTGTGAGTGGACCCGCGTCCCTGCGCGGCCCGGGCCCGATCTCGCGTCACCCGACCCCGCCCCCGCCCGCGCGCCGCCCCGCCCCGCCCGGGCCCCGCAGGGGAGGGAGGGTGGGAGGCGGATGGAGGTCGTGCCTGCCCCACGCCCCCACGACCTCCCTCCCCGCCGGATGCTATGAGGCCCCGAGTACCTGCCTCTCGCGTGCTCGGAGCCCCTCGGGGTCGCCGGAAATAGGGAGGCCCCGAGTTCCAGGAACGCGGACGGAGACGTGCAAGTAGCCGCTCTGCAGCGCTCACAGGGCGGGCGCGCCGGCCCCGCCGGGGGTTCAGCGGGAATGAGCGAAGCTTGAATCATACTCAGCCAGTGAGCGGCGGAAACGCGGCCACCTGGCAGCTCTGGAGGCCTCTGCCCGCGGCCACTTCCTGACAAGGATTAGATTCTGGACCCGCTCAACTGGATTTTTATTATCCCCCCTGGAGGAGCAGGTGTCACAAGATTGAGGTCAGGGCCGGAAGAGTTAAGGCTTGGGAGTAAAATGCATGTGACAGACCCCCCCCCCCCCCAGACTGTGTGACATTTGGGCAGGTTATACTGTGTAACCACCACCACCATTCCAGGTGCTGCTGTCAAAGGGAGCTTTAGTGCCTCCCCGCAGGGTGGTGGTGAAGATGAAAGGGAACATGCGGGCTGCCCAGCACGTGAACCCTCAAATGTTACTTGCCCACCTCCCCTTGGCTTCCTCCTGAAGGCCTATGTTAGCTTGTGTACCCTTCTGACTGGGGAACCCAATCCTTCAGTGTTTCAGAGGACTGAGAAAGAACATCACAGTTATGCAATGGATTGTGTTATGAGGAACGCCTGGAACTGTGGAAGTGATTCTAATCTGAATTTGTATCAAAACAACAAAGCGCTCTTTGAGAGACAAAAATGGTAACGCTCAAGACACGATGACAAACGTGTTAATCTGTTTCAGAACCACCTAGACAGGGTATCAGCAAGCTAATTTTAAAATTTGTGATATAATCACTAATCCCTAGAAAACATCTAGTTCTCAGCATAAAAGTCTGTCAACCTAAAACCAAACCCTAGCTGTCGTATTTTTATCAACGTTATCTCTGGATGCTAATATTTACCTGGGACTTAAGTCAGCTCACCCTAGCATCTCCTTACTGAAAACGTTCAAGCATTACTGTACAGGGAAAACGTAGGGGAAAGGTTTAGTTTCCTCAAATGATGAATGTGAGAAATCCATGAATCATGAACCAAGCACGTGGCTAGTTACATTTCAATGCCCCTGGGCGTTTTGCTTTACACTGGAGAGTAAGGCTGTGGTGGTATGCGGAACCACTGAGGTGTCTGTGTGTGCGCTTGGTTCGACTGTGGCATGCTGGAAGGGGATGGTATGGTCATAGCTCAGGCCACATGTGAGCCTCGGTCTGTACTGTGACTTTGGACAAAACCAGTCTTTATTCCTGGCAGCCTTACAAAGCCATGCCATTAGTCATGATGGAGAAATGGACAGGAAAGGTCTGCCCTCAGTACAGATCTTTCATGATGACACTATTAAGCATACCTCTAGTGCAGTGGTCTGCAAACTCAATGGTCAACAGAGCCAAATATCAGCAGTACAAAGATTGAAATTTCTTTTGAGAGCCACATTTTTTAAACTTCTAAACCACTTCAAAATAGATTCCCCCAAGCTGTGGTATTTTGTGGAAGAGCCACACTCAAGGGGCCAGAGAGCCGCAGTTTGCAGACCACTACTTTAGTGCATTTCCCTGGAACTATGGAGCAGTAGTGTCATTGCATACCAAATGATGTTGTCTAATATATCTATAATAATAAAAGCATAATATGCTAATTAGACCAGATGTCCTTCAGGAAGGAAGCCGAGGATGCCCTGGTCCCTGCTGGCAGCCTGAGGGAAACCAGTGCCAGCAGTAGGGGAAGGAAGGCCTACTCTTGCACGGATTATGTGCATTGGGCTTCTAGTGTTATATAATTCACGTTAAATTTTTACCATCTGGGTCAGCAATAACTTGAAATCCTCTATAATTACTGGCATATTTGTAGTAGGAGAAAGATAAGTACTATAGAACTACACTATTTATTGAGTGGTACATAAACAGAATTTTGTGAAAACTTGAAGCCAGAAATTAACCTGGTTCAGATCCATTCAGGTGTTAGGAAACACTTTCATAATTTGTCAGATAAATGGCACCTGCCAAATATTCCAGTGGCCACTACTATATGTTTCCTGCTTCCTCCCTGACTTGTTAATAACTCCCAATCCTGAAAGCTACCACCCTTGCTGCATAATTGTTCCAGGCCTTTTTTAGCATCTTAATCAGACATTTAAAGTCATCTCTTTTTGCCAAACACAGTCATTGTTATTTTACATTTTGGAGCCAACAAAATCATAAACCATAAGCAATTATTAATCTCTGGTCTTCCAGAATTTTTCATTTCTAAAGTAGATTGATTACTTACTATCAATCATAATTATTATATTCAGAGAAACTCTGGAGTTCAGTCTTAAGGAATAAGAATTGAAACTCTTAGCTGTGCCAAATCCCTCTGTGCCTCTTACTCTCTTATAAGAAAATTCACGGCCAGATTTTAATATATAGGATATGGGTATGGTCTGATGTTTAATATTTAGATCTTGCATCTATAGATCACTATAATTTAAAGTAAGTTCTGTTTTATTATTCCCTGGCTAATTTTTACAAGACATCTTTATATTCATCAGACACCAATAGATGTTTTAGAGAAATTATTCTTGCCCTCAGAGTTAACAGTTGAAGTTCAGTGCCATTCATGATACTCACTTTATTGTAAATGAGTATATTATGTCCCCACATGATGACAGAAGACTTCGGATGTCAGCAAACATGCCACCTGGCTTAGCAGCAGACCTCTGAGGAAATGTCATTAATTTTATGCAGAGGCCCACTATAAGAAAGAAAACAGACCCTGCCCTTAGCATGCACTTAGCAACTTACTGAGCCGAACCTACATTAGAGATGGTTTTGGAGGCTTACAGGTTGAAAAATATTTTAGTGGATGAAGTTCTGCAATGTCTTCGTGGTTATAGAATATCTATGGGGAAATTGCAAAACAATTTCTTGGACATTTCAGATACTCTTTTTTCTTGGTATTAGAAAATGGCTGTCTTATTCTTAAAAACTACAGAACAGTTATCACCTATCCTTTTGTTCAGCTTCCTTTTTATAGAATGTCTAAAATAACACTTCTGGATTTCTTTCACGTATTAGGTCATTTCACTTAGGCTTACCTTTTATGTCTAACACAAAAGGAGGAACTCCCCTATTGAAGGAGAAATTCAGTTACCTTCCCAAACGCAAATAAGAAACCATTGCTCTTTTACTGGCTAAGTTGATACCACCCTTGTTTTCTGTGGGAATGTTCAAAGAATGCATTTCCCTGAATAGAAGTCACAGCTGTGTAAATAGCAAAAAAAGGTAACTTTTTATCCCATAGCTGCTTTCAACCACATTTGGCCAGTAAAGCAAAACTAGATAAAGCTCCAGACGTTTTCCAGTTGCATCGGAGGCTTGTCGTGGCTGTCACATCTTTTCTCGGCTGCTGTCACCAGTGCAACACTCTTCTGAGCATCACAGCCAGGTGTTTGGGCCTGTGTTTCAAAGTGTTCAATTGCTTTGATCTGGGTGATAGTCACTGTTTGGAAACTGTGCAGTGATATTTCAGCCTCTATCCCTTCACTAATATGATTTTTTAAAAAATATTTTATTGATTTTTCACAGAGAGGAAGAGAGAGGGATAGAAAGTTAGGAACATCAATGAGAGAGAATCATCGATCAGCTGCCTCCTACACACCCCCTACTAGGGATGTGCCCACAACCAACATACATGCCCTTGACCAGAATCGAACCCAGGACCTCCCAGTCTGCAGGCTGATGCTCTATCCACTGAGCCAAACCGGTTTCGGCTGATTTTTTTAACCCCGAGTTCTATGGCACATGCTGGAATGCCAGAGGAGGAGACCCCAAGTTTTAACCTTTATGTAGAAGCTGTCATGTTTCAAAGCAAAAAATAAGGGGAGGACACCTGGCTGGTGTAGCTCAGTGGATTGAATGTTGTCTTATGGACGAAGGGGTCCTGGGTTCGATTTCTACTCAGGGCACATTCCCAGGTTGTGGGCTTAGTCCCCTGGGGGAGGTGTGCAGGAGGCAGCCAAGTAATGATTCTCTCTCATCATTGATGTTTCTCTCCCTCTTCCTTCCTCTCTGAAATCAATAAAAATATTTTTTTTTAAAAATAAGAGAAGGTGATCAACCAAAGGAATTGTATGCATATGTGCATAACCCATGGACACAGACAATAGGGTGGTGAAGGCCTGGGGCAGAGGGCGGGGGCAGGCTGGAGAGGGTCAATGGGGAAGGGCCGGGGGGCATATGTGATACTTCCAACAATAAAGATTTAAAAATAAAATATTATAAGGGGGGATATGTTACATACCTTAGTTATCTAGACCAGGGGCTGGCCAACTTTTTCTTAAAGGACCAGATTGTAAATATTTTGGGCTTTGAGAGCTGTGAGGCAAAAAAAAAATCAAGGACATTATGTAGGTTATTACAACCATTTAAAATGTATCCGTTTAGAAATGTAAAACCATTCTTGGCTCCTGGGCCATACAGAAACAGGCGGCAGGGCTGGGGGTGGCCAGCAGGCCGTATACTTTTCCAGTCATACCACCCCTCACTAACAGAAACCCTGTCCTTTTTTCCTCGCTCTCAGCCACATGCCTGGGGATTACGGTGTGATGGGTGACGATAGCTCTATCGATTACAGCGTTCACGAGGCCTGGAACGAAGCCACCAACGTCTACTTGGTAGTGATCCTCGTCAGCTTTGGTCTCTTCGTGTACGCCAAGAGGTAAGTCTTTGAGTCCTTCCGGGAAGATCAGAAACTGGGCATTTAAAAGCTTCTACAGGTTTGTCTGTTTGTTTGATCTAAATTAAATGCACAAAAATAATGATGTCATCCACATTTTTGTTCCTGCTCCGTGAAAGCACTGTCTACTGACGCCCTTGAGCACTGGGCACTGAGATTTGGCTTGGGAAACCCTGTTGCTTTAAGAGATGAAGATTGAAGTGCAGCCCTTGGCACCCCACCCCGCTGCACTGTACTCCCGTTCTGTCATATCTAACACCCAGCCTGTGCTCATGGGCACCTTTGGATGAGCACACATGTTGGCCCGTGTCCCTAAAATGCAGAGACACTGACTCCTGTGTGTTTAGCAATTCTCCGTTTGCACATTTGAAGTGTTCCCTTCTGTTTCCTGTGCAAAACTATCTTATAGCACTTATCCTATATAATAAAAGGGTAATGTGCAAATCGACCACATGGCGGAACGACCGGCTGCTATGACACACACTGACCACCAGGGGGCATACGCTCAATGCAGGAGCTGCCCCCTAGTTGGCAGAGTGCTCCCACAGGGGGAGCACTGCTCAGCCAGAAGCTGGGCTCACTGCTGGCGAGTGCAGCAACAGTGGCGGGAGCCTTTCCTAAGGATGTCCGACTGCCAGTTTAGGCCCGCTCCCACAAGACAGACAACCCCTCACCCCCAAGTGCACAAATTTTGTGCACTGGGCCTCTAGTTGAACAATATAGTATTATCTGATTACTTGTCTATTCCACAAAAATTTCAGTCCCTTGAGAACAAGGCCTGGTGTGTCACATAGTGTAAATAAATATTCCCTACTTTAATTCTAGATTCCATAGCATAATGTGACTGTTCTCTCTCATACTCTCTCTGGCTCCTTTCCCTTTTTGGGGGGCGGGGGCAGGAAGCGGCTTTGGAAAGGAAAAGCACTATTAGTTGAACTCAGTTGCTTCTGCTTACAGGCACATGCTTTGGTATCCTCTGCCAAAGTCAAAAAGACAATAGATAGCTCAAAATAATTAGTAATCCAGAAATTATAGATGTTTGACCCGGGAGTAGTTCAGAGCCTATATTTGCTCTCAGACACACAGGCTCATCCTTCCTGGCTGCCTGACCCCTGAAGCAGCTAACCCATTGGCTGTCCAGGCTGTAGGGGATGGGTTAGGGAAGGCTCTACATATCAGCACCGGCCCACTTCCAAGAAACAGTGTTCCACTAAAAATAGCCACTGCTTCCTCCCACCCCACAGTTTTTTGTTTTGCTTTTTTTGTTTGTTTGTTTGTTTGTTTTTTAAATATATTTTATTGATTTTTTACAGAGAGGAAGGAAGAGAGACAGAGAGTTAGAAACCTCAATGAAAGAGAAACATCGACCAGCTGCCTCTTGCACACCCCCCACCGGGGATGTGCCCACAACCAACGTACATGCCCTTGACCGGAATCGAACCTGGGACCTTTCAGTCCGAAGACGGATGCTCTACCACTGAGCCAAACCGGTTTCGGCCCACCCCACAGTTTTAAAAGCAGGGGCACTATTACCAATTTTAAAGAGATGGCCATACAGAAGCTCCACTGAAGTCGTGCTATTGTATATGAGAAATATGCTTATTTGTTATTTTCCAAAGTTAAGGTCTGCTTACATTTTGTTTATTATCAAACCCAGAAAGTTAGCTTTATTTGGAGGACAGGAGAGGGAAGGGGTGGGGGGATCAGATATTTTTTTGTTTATGCATTTTTCCATACAGTATTTGGCTTTTGGAAGGGGAGGGAGTGAAAGCACAATAGAGGCACATCACTGTTGTATTAAGTGGATGTGTTTAGCTACTTCCTTTTCTTTTGTATATCCCTGTGGCTATACATATACCGCTTCATACTTTTTAAAAATTATGTTTTTATTGATTTTTAGAAAAAGGAAAAGGGAGAGGGAGAGAGAGAGAGAGAAACATCAATTGGCTGCCTCCAAACTGGGGATCGAACCTTGGCCATGTGCCCTGACTGGGAATCCAATTGGCAACCTTTCGGTGCATGAAGTGGCGCCCAAGCAACTGAGCCACAGAAGCCAGGGCATACAGCTTTGTACTTTTTTATGAAAGAAAGAGTTACTTGAGTCAAGGAAGCATCCACAGAGACAAAACAAAAGATGAATTCCTTGCCATTTAAGTCCTTAAATGTAGTTTCCGATTACAACGATCCTGGGAATATTATAGTCCTATAGGAATTAATACAAATCTCTCTTCTGCACTGGTTTTGTGTTTTAGGAATAAGAGGAAAATTATGAGGATATTCAGTGTGCCACCTACAGCAGAAACTTTGTCAGAACCCAACTTTTATGACACAATGAGCAAAATTCGTTTAAGACAGCAACTGGAAATGTATTCCATTTGTAAGTATATTCTGTGCTTTAGTATATGTAGAAGCACGTTTAAAGTAGAATTTTTGGAATCGAACGCAGTTAGTAAAAGGTTGTCAGAAATAGTTGATAATGAGAACTGCGTGCACTTTTCAGAAGCTCATCACAGTGTCAGCAAAGGAGGTCTGCATGAAGTTAATGCTTCAGGGCCCTGTGCTTGTACGGGCCCTTCCAAGACTGAGAAGAACCCTAAGAATAAATATATGGGGTTGTTCTTTTGTAAATTTTGCAAAAAAAAAGCTATTTTAATAACCAGATAAGATTGCTATCTCTTCCTGTTCTAATTTGCCCCCCTCTCTGTGGCCAGGAGCATTTGAGGGGATCTAAGGGAGAATTGAGTTGGAGCTACTTTTAGCTGGGTTTGGAAGTTTTATTTATGGAGTTTGCTGTCAGTCTCTTCTATTATAAGTAAACTACTGCAAGCCAAAGCAGAAGAGGAATGGCTTCCAGGAATATGGCATGTGATATTAACGTGCAAGGTCAGGGGTCATATCTCAATATCAACATGTTCCATAGTACTGAACACGGTGACTGTATAGGTGGTGGGGAAGAAACAATGTTTAAATGTACGGAGTTAGAATGAATCGTAGGCCACAACCATGTATGCCACCATTTAAAAGAATAAGGTGTTATTTCTGTGGTGTATCATTAAGCTGAGAAAAGCAAAATATTATACGATGCCACTCTTAAAGTCTAATGACCACAACGTACCTTATATTATCTACATATAATATAAATGTTCTATGTAATTATGCAAGCATAGAGAAAGGTTTGAAGAGATACACATCAGATTATTAACATTATTACCTTGAAGGGGAGAGTGTGGGATTTGGAGAAAAAAGACTGGATATTTTTTAAAAGAAACATATCTGTGTAAAAATGTAAGTATGTGTGTGTATGTGCACGCATAGAAAAACCAGAGTGAAATTTTAGATGAAAAGTAGAAAAAATATATACATACATATATATTTTACACAGTTAAAACCTATAAAAAAAATCTGTAGCATAAATTTTGTCCTAAGAACTGGTAACAGCAGTTCCTTTGGGGAAAGCAACTGGAAGGCAGCTACAGGACTGATCAGCTAAGAGAAATACACTTTCACTGTTTTTTTCTTGTGTTCCTTCTGCACTTTGTACCGTATGGATGGCTTACCAGCTCAAGCTAAGCAGTAAAACTAACATAGCAGCTTATTCACGATAGCCAGAATATAGAAACAATCCCAAGTGTCCTTGATGGATGAATGGATACACAAACAATGGTACTTAAATACCAGTACAGTTATTCAGCCTTTAAAAGGAAGACACTTAAAACTGACTAAAAATGGCAAATTTTATGTATATTTTATCACAACAGAAAAAAATCCTTTAAAAAAATTAACTTTTTTTTTTTAAAGTATTATATAACATCAGAAGCTTTGTAAGGAAAATTATAAGGGAAGAATTAAGTTTTCATTGATGCCTAGTCAAAACAGAAGTTACCTCCTACCAGTAGTATATTCAGTAGTTTATCATGCACAATTATAAACCCACTGTACAGGCTTTTTTTCTTCTTTGATGGGAACAGCATAAAATAAGATCAGAATTCCTGTCTTTGTAAGGCGTATCAGTTTCCTATTGCTGTTTTAACAAATTGTCACAAATTTTGTGGCTTAAAACAACACAAATGCATTGTCTTACGTTTTTATAGGTTAAAAATCCTACAACGGTCTGGCTGGAATAAAAATCTAGGTGTGAGCTCCAGCAGAAATGCTGTTTTCTTTCTGAGCCAGCAGCATTGCATATATCTCCTCATTCTTCTATTGTATCTTCCCCTCTGTCTGAACTCAGCCAGAAAAGGTTCTCTAATTTTAAGGGTCCATGTGATTAGGTGGGACCAGGTAATCCAAAGTAATCTTCCCCCTCTCTTACCTTATCTTAATCATATCTTCAAAGTCCCCTTTACCCTGTAAGGTAACATATTCACAGATTGGCAGGATTAGGATGTAGACAATTTTGGAAGCCATTATTCTATAAACAATGAGAGTGTGTGTATGGATCTGCACGTTTAGTGAACCCCTGATCATTGGAGCATTCTTAGTGTTTGTGACATATCTAGCCCTAACAAAGTCTGGCGATTCAACAGGAAATAGCAAACAAAATTCTTTTTCTTAAAAAGGACTCCCAAAGTTGTATAAGCTTTAGGCCACAAAAATCTGAATTTACCCCAAGTACTGTAAACAAGAAGTATCTCTTTCTTGGCTAAGAAATAATGAAGAGTCTGAAAGTTTTAAAGCTAAATAGTCAATGACATTCCTAAAGATTTTAACCCTGTACTTTCTCTAGTTTTAACTTGGGGCCATTTATTTTATTTTATTTTATTTTATTTTATTTTATTTTATTATTTTATTTTTGACAGTTTTATAGATGTCCCCCAATTTTCCATCTCTTTTCCCAGCCCAGACAAGACCATTCTTCAAATAAACATTTCTCAGAAGTACAAAGAGAATACAGAATTGCTTTTTTCCCCATCAAGTTTAAAGTAATCACAAAGTTCAATAATACATCTCTTAGGTTTACTAGTTAAAATATAGTTAAATTCCTTATTATGTGGACAAAAGCATTCTTAATTTATCTTAAGGTGGAAATAAGGGACAAGAAAGAAGCAAATTGCAGAATATTAATTTGACAGCTTAATTAATATTTACCCAATATTTTAAAGCTCTGAATAATCCTGATATACAAATAATAGTAATGACAATAACTCATAAAATGGATATCAGCAATGTTGAGATATTAGAGGATCATGAAGTATAATAAAAATTTCCTCCAACAGAAAAAGTTTAATTCTAAGCTAATTCTTTACTGAGATTCATGACTTGTCATTTAATGATATTAACTATTAATTATTTTGCTATTTTATTAAGTTTATCTCTTTTTTGTTTTGTTTTGTTTTGTTTTGTTTTTTTAATAGCAAGGAAGTATGACCTTCAACAACCACAAAACCAAGCTGACAGTGTGCAGCTCTCACTGGAATGAAATCTCAGAAAATGAACCACATAAATAATTGCTAAACAGTATTGTAGCAAGCTCCTAATTCCACCAAGTCATGAACAGCATCTTTAAAAAGTCTTCTGTCTCCATAAGATAATTTTCCTTGTGATCTTTATCCAGCATTTTTGGTGTATTTTCTTTTACTTTTTTTAAATTGCATCTCTGAGTCGTTTGTTACAGAAATAAAAAATGGCTCAGAAGACCTGAAAGCGGGAAGAAAGACTGTAACCAGAGGTGGTGATTTTACTTTGTGAACACCTTTGATTTCTTCAAGATGCAATCAAGAGTGAAAACCCATCTTTGGAAGCGAGACTATGAAACTTATGCCACTTGGAGCTGAAATTTTTGCAAAATAAAACATGGAAATCCAGTCTTGGTATAATTTCCTCTCAGATTGTGTTCTGTGATAAATGTAACATGGATAACTGACTGATTTGTGTTCTCATTGGTGTTGGTTACTACTCTTTAATTGAATTACTACTTACTTCTTCAGAACTTGCATAGTGGACTGTCTTTCTATATCATGAAGCATACCCATCTGCTCATTATGGAAGCCTTCTGGAATTTTTCCCTCATGTGTTCTTAGGAGTTCGTTTGCTTTTTTCCTTAATCCCAGAGTTTCATTTCCACCACAAGAGTCTTCTTTCAACCATACTGGGGCCATGTTGCCAAATAAATGGGCATTTCTATAACTGGTGTTAGCAACTTGATTTTCAGCATATGACTATTGATGTTTAACTCAACTGTCTGGTTTCTTATGCTTTCTTAGCATAATAAGCTTCCCTGAAGACTCCTATCTTGTACCATTTTCTACTGTACATTGAATTGTTTTTACCTACTTTGTCATAGTTAAGTAAAAGCTGATTCAAGGTAGTGGCAGGGAAGTTTAACTGTCCAAGTAACTGGCCAAGAATTAGTTTTGTGAGCCAAAATATTCTTAATTCTAGGAGTTAAGGTTAATATGTCAGCTTTATTTTCTTTTCCCTTTCTAGTTGTAAAGTAAAAGAATGTAAATTTTAAATGAAAGGGTTTAGACCAAATAAAATCAGGGAAATTGCATTTTCTTTTTAAATTACATCATTCAAAAATGTATCTACTGTCTGAGGTAAATTGTTGACCAAATGGAGCAATTCTTCCTTAATTCACAAGTGAATGCACTCCTATACAAAGGATGAAAAACTATGTATAACTACAACCGTGTAAAATTAAACAGTTGTAATTACAGGCTGGGGGTAGCAGAGCGGCAAGGAGAGGGTCTTCTTAAACTCTGCTTTCCTCACGGAGACACCATGTATTTCCATCAGCAGAGAATGAAACCGAGCACGAACAGTGTACTTGCTGTCCTTGAGGTGTGACACAATCTGGACCAATCACCAAACCTGGCCATCTCAGATGATTTGTATAGTGTACCGGTATGTAAATAAATGTAAATCACAATGAGATTGTGATTGTGTTTATCTGTGTCCACTAGATAGAGACAGTCCTAACTAAACACTGGTAGATCATTCGGTGAGCATCAAACCCTGGCAAGTAAGAGCGGATGAATTCCTGATTTTTTTTCTCTAAAGCTAACACGGGAATCACTCACCCCCACTGGCAGGAACAGCAGTAAGTCTGCCTTTGAAGTTTCCTCTCTGCTTCCACAGCTGAGCTGGGGAGGGCAGGAGCCTGCAGCCACACTTCAAAGGGACTCCAGGTGATTGTTCTGCTCCTGCCCCCAATCCACCACAGATTCAGTGGAGCTATTTTCTTTGGAAGAAAAGAAGGATGACTAATAAGCTGGTAAATAACACTTGTGTCCTCCTTTTGTTTCTTCTTTTTAAATGCAGAAGATACTGAGCAGTAAGCACCGGTCAGCCTCTCTTGGTGCACAGCTTGAGCACGTTAAATAGTTGTTTAGCTGATGCCAGCCAGCTGCTCTCAGGGAAGCCTAAAGGACACAGATGTTTGCTCTTGACCTCACACTGCTTCAGGTGGAGTTACTGATGTGATTCGGCAGAGGATGAAAAGCAGAGTTTATGGTAAAATTGGTGTAATGTCAGGAATATTTTCAATATTGAGTAGAAATAACAAATTAGTGGTAATAAAAATAATTTCAGATAGTAACAAATACATCAGAGGAAAAAGGCAAAAGTGTATGGAATGAAGTAATTCATTCAACAAATAGGTGTGAAATACATAACTGTGTGCTAGTCATGTGTCATCTATAAACTATTAGATTTTAATAATTAGAGTAGGAACAAGTGCAGGAAAACTAAAAGGAAATGTGGTTACTTATTTCCATACCTTTAACATGTATGCAAAATAGTGAGAATAGGTACTGGAGCTTATTCCTAACCTGTTTTCCACTGGACTCCCTAATAAAGCCAGAGCCAAACTTGCACAAAACTATAAGCAAGACAAGTTTCCCACCTACCTTCTGACCCTTGGCAGTCTCCTATAAGTCTGTACAGGCAAGACAGGTCTTAAATGAGGATTTAAAACTAAGGATGAGTAACTTAAGCTGAGACCTCATGTGGTAAACTCTCCTTAGTCCTGTAGCATGCCTGTAACACATATGGGGACTTTCAGCAGCAGGTCACCTCTCTACTATCATTGACTTCTTTCTCACCTACAATAAAAGTGGCATTTAGCGTTAGATTCTATCCTGATGTATTTTCCACCCTTTCTTAGAGTAAAAAACTAAAGCTATATATGTAGATTAGTAACATTGGGATAAGTCAAAGGAGAGGCCACTTACTGTCCAGGTCCATTGATCGTAGTGGAGCCCAAAATTTGATACTGAAAGAGTGCTGTGTAGTGTTCACTTCTTTTGTTTTTCTTGTTTTCTGGTTCCAGAGATTGTTAAAAGAGCAGCTCCATCCCAGGGATTTTATTTAACAACTGCAGGCCTGGTGCATGGATTCATGCACCGGTGGGGCTCCTCAGCCTAATGTACCCTCTCACAACCCAGGACCCCTCGGGGACATCGGACTGCGGTTTGTGCCCGAGGGATAGAGTGTCAGACATTCCCTGAGGGATCCCAGATTGGAGAGGATGCTGGCTGGGCTGAGGGACAACTTCCCCCTCTCCCTCCCCCAGTGCATGAATTTTGTACACCGGGCCTCTAGTCAATCAATAAAATGTTGATTGGAAACCAACTTAGACTGAGGAAATATGTCAACTGTCCAGAACATGAGAGGGGATGCTGGCCTGGCTAATTGCAGACAAACTATATATGCACCCATAGGGGGCTGTGGAGGCTTTTATCAGCAAATCTTTTTGGGAAAGGAGTTGCCCCTTTTCTTCCTTAAGATTTTGCTCATCAGAGTTCACTTTCTCTTTTCATCTTCGAGACCTGTGATGTTTTCTGAGAAGTGGAGGTTGAGTTTCAGAAACACCAATCCAAGGACAGATGTTCACTTATCTACAATTTATAAATGAATACAGGTGTTTGGAAACTTAATCACTCAACATTTGCTTGTTTAGTTGCAGTTTAATTTACTTAAGGTGCTGGATGCTTCTGGCTACTTCTTAGGTGCCTTACTTAATGGCTTCTGGCCCATTGCTATGATGAAATAGAATTTATAATGATTCCTACATATGCTAACTTAATACTTGTAAAATATACCCTTTCTTTGTTTATTAAAAAAAGAAGAAGAAGAAGAAGAAGAAAGAAAAAAAGAAGAAAAAAGACCCTGGTAAGTCTAGTAGGCTTCAAAAGGATTATAAAATTTTTAGAAACGCTAGTTCTTTTTTTTATTATTTTTTTACAGAGAGGAAGGGAGAGAGATAGAGAGCTAGAAACGTCGATGAGAGAGAAACATCGACCAGCTGCCTCTTGCACACCCCCTACTGGGGATGTGCCCGCAGCTAATGTACATGCCCCTGACCAGAATCGAACCTGGGACCTTTTAGTCCGCAGACCGACCCTCTACCACTGAGCCAAACCGGTTTCGGCGGAAACGCTAGTTCTTAATTAAAGCTGTGGAGAAATTTCAACTGAAGGTATTAACCAACATATGACAAATGCAGACACTTAAATTATTCTGCTAGCTGACAGTTTTGACTGAAACTTATTCAATTTAGTTTAAACAATACTGAATGGGGGGAAGTCATTTCATGATCCAAATAATCTTTTACTTGTCATTGTTGGCCAATCAAAAAGATATAGTTCATCTTTCTCCTACGAAGTTCACATAAAATTTGAGGTAACAATTTAGTTGATAGAACACGGAATTTGAAACCTAAGTTCCAGACTGTTTTGATTTGTGATGTATCTGCATAAATTTGAGCTTATCATTAATCTTACTAGGCCTCAATTTGTTAAATCTGTTAAATAGGAATAAGACTGCCTTTACCCAGGAGTGGTCAGATTCTAAATGACAAACCACCTGAGCACCCTAGAAGGCAATGTCAAAACCCTTGGTGGTTGGTGGTGGTGTTTAATATTCTTTCACTGTGTAACCAATATATGTTTTTAAGAGTTCTAAAGAGCAAAGCCAGACATAAATGGAGTCCCTGATCCCTCCAGACCATTAGAAGATGTATTTCTTTTCATATATTTTATTGATTTTTTTACAGGGAGGAAGGGAAAGAGATAGAAAGCTAGAAACATCGATGAGAGAGAAACATTGATCAGCTCCTCCTGCACACCCCCCACTGGGGAAGTGCCCACAACCAATGTACATGCCCTTGACTGGAATCGAACCTGGGCTCCTTGAGTCCTCAGGCCAACGCTCTATCCACTGACCCAACCGGTTTTGGCTAGAATATGTATTCTTTAACTTTCTCTGCAGTCCCAGGAAAAGCAGCCAGTTAATGAGAACTTAAAAAGTACACGAATCAAGTCACCTATATATAATTATCACTCACTTCAACTACTACATTTAAAAAACCTTCCCTGATACCATCTCCATTTTTCAGATGGAAATATGGGCACAGAGAAATTAGGGGAGAGGCTCAATATTGAAAACCAGAATTACATTCTCTCTTGAGATCCTTTC